CCCCCCAACAAACAATACTTTACCAGAAGAGGAAGTGCGTTAGTTTGATCCGGCTCCCCAGTTTCTGTATAGATCGGGTGCTTCAGCGGGCCTTTTTGGCACTTTTACCTACTACCATGCCACCACAGGCTGAAGCATCATCTCTCTCCAACTCTGCATTGTTACTCCATCTAAGTAGGGAGCTAACTTCCCCCCAGGAGTCAAGAAAAAGATAATGGAACAAATCAGCTCTATTTTAAAAAAGAGGATAGTTTTGTTAATGTATTCATTTCTGACTTAGTGAATCCTAAGATTGACACACGCTATACAATAGTATGTAGGAGCTGCTTATTTATTCAAAGGAAGAATAAGAACGGTAGAAGTAGCTATAAAAAGTTATTAGTTAAAAATGAAATGCCACTGGCTTCAAGAATTGATCAGGCATTCTGGATTCCTCTTTATTTTAGAGCTAACTTATCTAAGACTTGGTATTACATAAAATAAACTACCGAGGGAAAATAAGCTATAAAAATGTTATAAATCCTAATGTGACCAAAGGTCATAACCCTCATGGTAGAAAATATTACCTCTCTACTTTATTTAGTCTACACAATTCTTCTTTAGCAAGACGCTTATTTCTTTCATTTTAGCAGTGCATATCAGAGGAAGAATTAAAATAATATGAGGCTATATAAGCTATAAATCTTAATATTTTGTATTCTGACTTAATATTAGGCTTTTATCATCTCTCTCATGAGCAGAGATAGCTAGAGATTTGTGCTTAGTCATATGAACTACCTGCCAGCATCTGAAGATTTAGCATAACACTTGGAATATAAGATAGGGTTACCATCTGTCTGAGTTTTCCCAGACATGTCCTCTTTTTGGTTCCTCTGTCCAGGCAGCTTTTTAAATGTCAGTAAATGTCTGGGATTTTGCTCTGCTTTTGCTTTCCCAACACTTCCTGGCTTGCCTTAGCAAGGTGCTGCTTGGGGCTGGGGGGATTGGGGGCTGGACAATTGGAGGCAGGGCCATCACATGCATCTGCGCACGGTCCCGGCAGCTGCAAGCAAGTAAGGCTGTGGGGGGTGCATGGCTGTGCACGTGCGTATGTGTATGTACATGGCTGCCGGTGCTGGGGCTGCAGCAGGGAGGGGAGGCAGGGAAAGGAGGTGGGGGGGTTCTTCAGGGGCAGCAGAGAGCTGTGTGGGCAGTAGGGCTTGGGGGAGGGCATAGGGCTATGGGTCAGGAGTGAAGGGCTGGGGGGCTGTGACTTGGGTGTGAGAGGCACTGTGGGGGTAGGGGACTGGGTAGGGAGCACAGGGCACCGGCAGGGCCAGCGGACTGTGAGTTGGGAGTGAGGGGTATCAACAGGGATTGGAGAGGGGGGTGCTGCAGGTTGAAAGTGAGGGGTCAAGGCATGGGCATATCACTGCCTTCCCCCTTCCCCCCACAGTCATACCCCCAAGTGTCTTCTTTTTTGAAACTGTAAATATGGTAACCCTAATATAAGAACAGCTATCTGATATGTCCTAGCATTGAGAATATCTAAATGTAGATAGAACATAATAGACTTCTTACCTATCTTTCTCATCCAGATGTATGCCTTGTCTCTTAACAAGCCAGTTGTGTAATACAAGTCAGAGGAACCGAATGTGTGGGGGGCCCCAGGGCCCTGCCCCGCCTTGGAAAGAGGGCTTTCACCTGAAAGGCATAAAACTTTCCACATGTCCATAATCTTACCTCCACCCCCAGCAAAAATACAACTTGACGCCTATGATACAAGTAGGCCATGCATCTGACATTGGGCAGCAAAGTAAATGGCTGCTTACAGATGTGAAGGAATAAAAAGAAAACTGCACTTTACTTTCAGCTCGGTGTGCCCCTGCACCAAGCCCAGCGCATGTCCAGAAGAGGTATCACATTAGTTTGACCTAATTTTCCCAATGTCTGTACAAGTAGGGCACTTCCGTGGAGCATTTTTTGGCGCTTTTATCTTATAACTGATTGAATTAGTTTTAGATAAGTGCCAAAAAGCCCTGCTGAAACCCGAGGGTGAAAGATCACCCTATTGATGCAACTGATCATTCTCAAACTTACAGAAACTTTAAAAGTTTAAGATTACTATATGCATTGAATTCAGCATTGTGAACCATTTTCCCTGGCTACTAAGTAGGATGGAATTAGTAAATCAATGCTAGTAAATAAAGTTGAGAATCTCATGCTAAGTACTGCCTGCCTTAGACCCAGGCTGTGTTGTTTTGACCCACTTCTCAAAAATGTTGCTGACCCTGGGTTTAGACTAGCAAAATGTTTTGAGATTAAACTATACATATTTTACTAAATAATTGAGTAGAATTTGTAAAAGTGCCTACCTGACTTAGCTTTTATTTATAATGCAGTTGGAGAAGTGATTGCAAATGCATACACATACATTAGCTATTTTTGCTTTTGCTCCCCATTCTAGATAAATTAATGGCAGCTGCATGTGCACCTTGAAATGCACAATGATGGAGAGCTGAGGTTGTGCTGCCCCAGGCCACTGCCTCCGCTGTCCACCCGGAGGCATGCATGCATGCACCCACTACTGCCATGAAGCCTGGCCAACTGTTTGCATCCTTCTGGTGGATGGGCTGCAGAACCTTGGTATCGGTGCCATGCCAATGGTGACTGCATGCGTGCCTTGGTGCACAGAGTGGGGAAGGGAACAAGACAGTGCAACCCTGGCCCCTCACCCACCATCTGCCTAGAGCCATGCATGCAGCTGCCACCAGCAGTGAGGATCAGGCTCCTCATGTCTCCCCCTACAGTCTGCCCCATATATGCCAAGTCAAGGCATGGGTCAGGGTTGAGGTGTTTTTGGCACTTGAGACATAGCCTTAGAACCACAAGTCCTTTTCCAGTAAATAAGAACTGCACTCCTAATTTACTTGAGTTCTTTTGAAAATCCCAAACTTTGTGTTTAAGTTTGAGTGGCCAAAATGTTGTACTGCTAGCATATGTAACTACAGGATCCTAGCTCCATTTCCTATACTGTCAACTTCACTTTACTCTTCTAATTTGTCCTGTTCACTTATCCTCTATTGTTGCAAATAGACAACTGTGATAGCAGCTGTACCAAGTAGGATGTAGATATGTCAGTACACTGGAGTTGATGCTGATTGTGGGGGCAGTACTGCACAGAGATGTAGCTGGGCAGCACTAACTGGCATGGTGCTGATCACAGCTGCAGGATCAGCCACTGCTGGAGTCATGGCTCTTTTTATGCCCCTCTTCCTGCCCTTCCCCCAGCTTACCCCTCACCTCCCCTGAGGCTGTGCCCAGTGCTGTGGCCCAAGTTGCCCCCTTTAGTTACTGCAATACAAATAAAACAATAATCATTTTTCATTGTTCTGTTGAAGAATACCTAAGAGTTTGCTTCCTATGCACAATTGTCCTTGCTCTGATAATGTTTTATTATTTAGTTAACTGGCAGGATTGTGACGTTTAAAGTGAATATTCTGAAATATTAAACTCCTACTCTTTTTCTTTTATATTTTAGTATACCTGCAGACTCACAGGTAAACATTAAAGAGGTCATGCCGAAAATGAAACACACTGAAAATGTTTCTCAACAAAGTACAGATGAGGCAGTAGAGGTACTGTGTAATTCAAAAATATTAATGTTGTTAAGTATTCTCATCATAAATTATTTACTTATTTACTTATCATTGAAATAGGAGTTATATTTTATAGCAAAAATAAATTATTATAATTGTAATAGATTATAAGCCATAAGAAATAACTAAATAAGATGTAGGAAATGAAAAATATTGTTAATTCAGTCCATGAAAATGCATTTATCAAAAATTCTGATGGGCAGTAAAACTTAATTGCTTTTTCCATGTACCAAAGATGTATTTGGGTTGTGCCTCTTCCTGCATATGTTGAAGGCAGTTCTAGTGTTCCTAGCTCTTGTGATTTTTTTTTTTTTCTCTTCAGTCTTTCAGATATTATAGTTTTTCTTATACGACTACTTCCAGAAGTTATGGGTTTATGAGAGAGTCTCAACATTTATTTAAAAAGTGTCTAGACTTTGAGGTTACAGAAGATATGAAATGGTAATTCTTAAATGCTCAAAAAATAAAAGACCAATTAAAAGATAAAGTAACTGCCCTGATTCTTTGGAACCTGGCTTATGATCTTGAAACTTTTAGCAATGGCAATACTGTAGCTTAGGTGTGCTGAGGAGTGTGATGTGGTCATAGCCTTTCTGTTCTTTTCTGTCTCAGAGTTCAGACAGTATTGGAGCATTGAATTGGTACTTATCTTTTAGTCTTGCTTTTATAGCTGCTTATGGAGAAGCAGTAAGAAACATCTTTTACTTATTGGCCAAAATTACTTCAACTAACTTAAAGCTAATCATAAGGAGGAAAATGTTTAGAACTGTCAGCAGCTAAGCTAAAACTTTTAGAATTGATGCAGCAGAAGCAAGGAATCATTTAAGATTTTTTTGACATTTGTATTGCAGTTTCCTAGTGAAATAGAAGTAAAAAATGAAATGAATATTATTCAGTTATTGGAAAAACAGTACCAAGAACGATTAGAACAAGAAATGGCTAAGGTAAAACTTTACAATAACTTTTTTAAACTGCATAACCTTGTGTTTTTACTTATTAATTCTGGCAGCTCAGAGAACTAGAGAACAAATATATTTTTATCTTTATTATCTTTATAAGGAACTGTTTCATTCTGGTTATGGATGTAAAGAATCTTGTAAAACTTATATGAAACACTAAGCTTTTGACATGCTTTGCATGAAGCGTATACAAATCCTACTTTATTTTTCTTTTCTTTTTTATTCCTTTAGTGTACACTAGTAAACCTCTTTATTTTCTTAACAAATATCCATCTTCTTGGTTGTCCTATCCCAAAAATCCTAAAGCAGTAAATGATTAAAGTTGGTTCCTCTGGAGAAACTAAGGGCATCTTTACACATGCTTCAAGATGGGTGAGGGAGGGGGTGCTTTAATTACAGCCGCTCTTGTGAGTAGTTCTAATTAAAGCGCCCTCATTGTCTCATGTATTCAGTATCCCACATTTCAAAATGGTAGCAAGGGCACTTTAATTAAGCTCATTTGACAGGCTTTATTTAAAGCACCCCCACCACTATTTTGAAGTGCAGGACGCTGAATGCATGTGACACAGACTGCTGCAGCGTACTAATTAGTATGCATAGGAGCAGGTGTGGGGCACATGTATAGATGCCCTATGTGTATTGCTATTAACTGATATTTTTAAGTGTCTGCATCTTCATCCAGCCATATTCTAGTGTCCTCACATTAGAAATTATTTAGAAAGTTAGGAGAGAAGATTCTTATTCGTTTGCACTCTACATTTTGTTGTTGATTTTTTTTGTTTGTTTGTTTTCCTTAGAATTTGGGTAATGTGACATATTGTAAAATATGAAGGGTACTATTTAGGTTTTATGAACAGTTTTCACGAGAACAACTATGCCATGTTTGTTTTTTGATGAAAGAAATTCCTCTCATTCTTGCAGAGTTTATTTTCAATTCATTTACTCATTAGAAGTATATGAAGATTTTAGGGAGACAAAATCCATCTCCTTTTATTCTAAGACTACATACTTAAAAAACAAATCATCAGTCAATCAGATTAATAAAAGATACTTTTTGAAAAATAAACAGATACTTGCCTGGTTTGTAGTCAGACTGTAGAATTCAAGTTTTTGAGATTTTTTTTTTTTAATAGACAAGATGGTTTAAATCCCAGTAATATTTCTCTATTTTAATACTGTATTTTAAAAAGAAATATCCTTGAATAATTGCTGTGCTTTATTTATAGCTTTTTATATTAAAAAGATTTAAAACTGTTATTTTAATTGCATTTACTTGTTTTACTGATTTTCTTTACCAGTAATTGATGTCGCGGTGTGTTTTTAAAGACGCTATTTTCTTATTCAGGTTATCGTGCAAATGAGTGTAGCGTTTGCCCAACAGACCGAACTGGCAAGAATGGCTAGACAGAAAGAAGTAAGTCTGTCAGTAGCACAAACAGAAATTGTTCATCAAGAGGAAAGGCCTTTTGAAATTATGCAGAAATGCAGTGAAGAAGAGTTAGACATCCATCTTGCCAAAGAAAAGAAAAAAGACATTAAACATGAAGAACTGAAACCACTTAGCAAGGAACTCTGTGAAGAGTCCAGTGATATTCCTTCTCTTGGAGAACAGTTTAAATCAACTGCTGGGCCTGGTTACACGCTGGGACCAAGCAAGCAGGAAATGAAATTATCAGTTGAGTCTTCCTCCCAACACACAGAATTTGAGCTGAAGGAAATACTAGTAAGTATAAAGACATTGTCAATGTATTTATTCTATGAAATAGCGTATTTGTATATTTCAGACCATCTCATTTCATGTTCCATCTGGTCACAAAAAGTTTTACCATTATTCCAGTTACTGTTATGTAGCTTAGGCCATTATTTATTGGGGTTTTAAATTTTTTAATGGAAAAAGGCAAATTTTAATGAAGTTCTTTAGTTATTCCCTTCAGTGCTTAATGTTGAAGCATTATATTTGTTTGATCACAAAGCAAATGTAGTGAAATTGAATGATCCAGTTCTTGATCAAAGTTGCTAGAAATGGCATAAATAGTTAAAACTTAGCTAGATTTAGCAGCAATTTTTAATATTAATTAATATATACTGCTAGTGCTATAGATAAATTGTGTAAATATATGCTTTCTTAACCTAGCAGTGTCCTTCTTAAATGCCATCTGAAAGGATAAATTATAACAGCAATAATTTTAAATAATGATCTGTATCAAATGTTTTCATGTTGATTAACATCTTCATGTTGTTCTCAGTAAGATTAGGATTTAAAAAGAAAGAGCATCTTTATGCATGCTCCGGGTTGGGGGCAAAGGGAGCGTCTTAATTGGAGCAACTCTCAGGAGACGCTCTAATTAAATCTCCAACAGCGTCTCATGTATTCAGAGTTCTGTGCTTCAGAATGGCGATGGAGGTGCTTTAACTGAAGTTTGTTCAATGAGCCTTGGTTAAAGAGCCCCCGCCGCCATTTTGAAAGGCGGGTACACTGAATACACATGACACCGAGACTGCTGAAGTGTTCTAATTAGAATGCTCTGTCATGTTCTAGAACACATCAGAGCAGGCATCAGGCATGCATATAGGTGCCCAGAAGTTCTATATTGAATACTATAATAAAGATGCAAAAGAACCAATCATAATAGGTCATCTCATTTTTCTCCATCACATTTGTGAATAGACTCAGATAAAAAATGTTGTACAATATAGTAAATTATTGTCTTTGTAGTCCATGCATTGCAATTATTTGAAACCTTAGTATCTATATTCTGCTCGGTTTGAAACAAATTTTATGTTGTACTTGCTTTTCATAATTTACTTGAAAGGCTTCTAAAATGCAGAAGATTCCTTGGAAGCAGTTGCAAGAAAATAAAAGATACAGATTCCATTTTAATTTTTAAATAACTTCAAATGTGTATGATTGATTCTTGTTATAATTGCACAGTACAGAGATTACCTTCTATGTTAATGTCTGTTACTGAAACGCATAATATATAGATTCCTATACTTAATTAGCACCATAAAAACAAAACTTTACTTTAGATTAATCTTTGGTAAACAAGTCATTGGTGCCCTGACCTGAAGACCAAATGCAAGTTTGTAGCTTAAAACAACAGTATACAGACCTAAGACATGATAGTAGCTGCAGTCACTATATTGCAGTAGTAAAGGATGATGATTAAGTAGTAGCATTTTTTTTATAAACTTGAGAAGTGGATCATAAATTGCAGTGAGCAGGAGATTACAATAGTCAAGGTCAAATAAAAGAGCATAGAGAAGTTCCTGTTGTCCTTTATCAAAAAAACCTTGATACTATATTTACTTGATTCCAAGATGCTTTTTCCTTCATTTAACATGAGGGGAAAGGCCCTTATTTTGGAATCCAAGTATGATGTGTTATGGGGCAGGCAGCAGCTGCAGTTCCAGCTCCAGCCCAGCCCTGTAGTAGCAACGCTGGCTCTGTGCCACTGCCGTGGGGTGGGGAGGGTTATAGTCAGTGCCCCAGGATGTAGCAGGGATGGAGCTTACTGGCAGCAGAGCAAAAGTAAGGGGCAGGTGGGTGGAGTTAGAGACTTTGGTGGGGAGGGAAGAAGGGGTGGGGACCTGAGGCTGTGGAGGGCAGGCGCAAAGTGTGGGCAAGTGGCAGGGGGGGACAGGTGGCAGGGGAAAGCTGCCTGCCTCCCCCACCATCTCCACACTGCCTGTCCCCCACTGCACCTTCTACTATCTGCCTCCTTACTGCCTGTCCCCCACCACTCCTCATTGATGCCTGCCTGATTACTGCCTCCCCACCACCTGCCCTCCATGTGCCCCCCCAGTGCCTCACCCAAGGGATGTCCCCTACCACCTGCCCCGTTACTGCCCCCTCATCATCTGTTTCCCCCCTCCAGTGCCTGCAGTAGTACTGGGAGATGATTTAAGATGACCCTCCAATAATTTGGTTCTAGACATGGAAAATTATTATACATTTATAAATTTTCCTTGTCTGGAATCTGATTATTAGTGGGTGGTCTTAAGTTCAGGGTTGTCTTGAATTTGGGTAAATATGGTACTTGTCTTTGTTTTGGAAACCATTCGTGTCTTTGTATTGTTTACAGTTGTGAAAGGGATTGTTCTTTCTCTTGTGGGGGCAGCTTATGATTCTTAAAATTTGGACTTTCAAGAAGCCTGAAACAAGTTGATATTTTGGTTGATGGATGTTATAACTTGTGCAATTATTTTTGAAAAAACTACTTAAATATTTCATACAGTATGTACCAGCACATATGATACTAAAAATAATTAATATATTACAGCAAAATAATAGTATGCTGGCGTCCAGCACAGAAACCTCAAGTCAACTGTTGTTGTATGAAGAACGTTTGGAAGACATGCGACAGGAACTTGTGCGACAGTATCAGGAACATCAGCAGGCAACAGAAACAGTGAGACAGGGGCATATGCAACAAATGGAGCGGGAAAAAGAAAATCAAGAACAGCTCTTAGCGGAGATTGAAAGACTTAAAATGCAATTAGCGGAGGTAATATGGGCTTGGAGCAAGGGCAGCTGACAACTGAACTTAGCTTTTTTTTGAGACCTCACTACAGCCAAGCAGATTTAAAAGAATACATTTTATCAATGCCTTAAACTGTCATGAAGCTCTTCTGGTTGAAGCCTTCATCAGTTTTGCCAGCTTAATTGATGGCATTAAGCAGTCTGATCTCCTACTACTGCATATTTGCTGTTTCTACCTGGATATCAGGTGAAATCAAAACAATCTTGAATTCTGACCCATTTATTGCATTGTAGTGGTGCATCCATATGTGTCAGATGCTTCATTTCAGTGGTGCAGCATTTCAAAAATATGTATAAAAATAAATATGAGAGAACCCTAAAGTTCTTCAGTTCCATAGGGAATGGAACTCCACTGCAATACAAGTGTCCACCAGTCCATTATTATGCTCCTCGTACACTGGATTTTACCTTGAATACTTTTTGTTGTCTTCATGAGGAAAGGTGGTATAGTGGTGATCTGCTATTCCAGATCACTGTGATTTGTATCTGGCTAACACTCCTGTTTCTCCTTTGAAGCAACTGCAGGAGTTTAGATAGCAGGTCTAGATAGCTTCTTCTAGTATCACTGTGGGCCTATTCCCATCCTTTGCCTTAGGATTGCTCCCATAAGGTAGTATTCTCTCTGTCCATGTCGTCCTGGCCTCTGTCTCCCTTCCAGCACATCTAGGCATCAGGAAGGGCTGGACTTATTGATGAGAGACATTGAGTTAGTGATTTAGGCTTCTAGCTTCCCTGTCTTCTAAATGTTTGGCTATGAGAGCTGTATGAGAAGTAAAATGTAAATTTAAAATCAAGGATACTTTTCGGTCTTCTGTCTTGTTATACATTTTTTTGCCTTGTATGACTGCAGTGAAAGCCTATTCTAAAAAACGTGCTATCCAGATAGAATACTAGATACCCTACTATAGTGTGTGTGTATGTGTACATATACACTGTGTGTGTGTGTGTGTGTGTGTGTGTAAACAATGAAGTTGTAGCATCCAATACAACCATACTGCTTTAAAAAAGGTTTATAACAATTGTATGAAAATTCAACTTAAGATACAAAATACACTTGCTAGTTTTTGTCTGTTTTTGGAAAAATTTTCGTTTCCTTTTAACCATTTGACAGAATAGGCTGTATTTTCCTTGTGCAAGATATGTTGAGTATTAGAAGTGACAGAAATCATTAATACCCAAAGGTAAAAGCCATACAACCTCTATGATGGTTCTTTTATAGAGTGATTCAGTGGAGAATGACAGCTTGGTTACGGAGAGAGAGAGAATGCTTTTAGAGGAACTGGAATCATTAAAGAAGCATTCTGTACCTGGACGGGAGAGGTTGTATTGTGAGCTACGTAACAGCAGTACGCAAACACAGGTAAATATGGACTTTGACTGCCTTTGAAACCCTGGCATATACATACAATAGGATTTTTTTTTGTCTGCCATTCAGTACAATGATGCATGTTAGTATTATTTGTTAAGTTTTATTTAGACGGTATATACTAAACAGTGAGGAGAGGTGGAGCCTAAGTTATGGATCTTTTTAATTCAGGTAAAGTCCAATTTTAATGTTGCTATAGCAACATCCAACCAGAAACCTAGGAAGTGTTTATTAAGATAACAAACTTCTTTCTAACAAGCCTTGCCTTCGATCACTCGTATCTTCCCCACTCCCTATATGTTGTTATTGTTCCTTGATACTAGTAATCTTGGACAAAAGGATTGCTTTTTTATTTCAAATAGTACATAGCTTTTGCAGGTGTTTTATTTCATGATGTAACTGTGCATCAGAATAGCATGTTGAGTCCAGCATGACAGGATTTTTGTCTTTTTTTTCCTCTCTCCCTTTACAAAAATTAATTCAGAGTGAAAAAGAAAATCAAAATGAATCAAAAGAGGCCATCTTAGAGGATGAAGAAGGAAGAGAGAACCCTGAAGAAACATCTTCAGCAATTCTTTCTGAAGAAAGGTACTTTGAATTAAGTCTAAACTTTAATTAGAAGTTTCCACAGAAGCACAATGGTCTGTTTTCAGATTCAAAGTTTTAAATGTTGCTTATGTTGCACAGCATAATTTAGTGGCAGGGTTGTAGTGGTATTGTAGTTACTATTCTCCAATGAATACGAGAGAAGCAAGCTTTGCTTTTCATTTACATAATGTTGTTAAACAAGCTTATTGTATATGGTATTTAGCTTAGACTGTATTTGCTTCTTTCTCAGACATAAGGAGAGACATTTGGGGCTCAAAGCTTGTCTAGCATCTTTCCCAACTCTGTAGTATGATTTAGACATTTATAAAATAGTGTCTCAGAAATTTTCCGTTTGGTGGGGGGGAGGGCAAGGAATTGTGCACAACTCTTTGTTGTTCACTTTTTATTGCACTTAAGAGATTGCATTATTGTAATAAAACCTCAAAAATTTAATTTATCTTTGTAAAGTCTCAGCTTTCATTTTAAACATAAATTTACCTTGAATGACTTCATTGCTGTCTCTTCTAACTTTTATGGCCTTGCATGCTCCCCCATTCTCTTGATATTTTTTTCTGAATTTCAATGTGGAGTCTTGATCACACAGGTGTAAGCACAATTGATCATCATCATGGAGTACAGTAATTTTTTGAAAAGGCAGGAATTCTGAAATTCATAATTGATACACTGTACTAATATAGATAACATTTTTAATGTTTATAGTCATGTATTCATTACATATAAGCATATATATATGACTCATATCTGGGCTGTTCAACTTTTAAGGGGCCAGGGACCACATCAGTGGGGGCCATGGGTCTTGGGCACCGAATGCCGCCCATCCCACTGCACAGAGCTCCCAGATGCCCCATTGCTGCGCTCTCTCTACCCAGGGCAACCTTCCCTCCAGCCTCCCCCAACACTGCTGCTCTTCATGCTTACTGCACCACACGTTCCCTTCCTACAAACTGCTGCTCCTCATACTCCTACCACGGCACTACGTGTCCTCTGCTACTGCACCCCCTACCTGGGCATCCTGACACCCTTAGGTCCCCAGCTGCAAATTCTCTGCTCCACTAACTAGCAGGCTGTAGGCTCCCCCAGTGCACTAGGCTGTGCTGTGCTCTACTACCCCCCACAGTAGGCCGAGGGCAAGGGTAAGGGTAGATGGGGACGGCCAGAGGAAGGGGGAACCTGAACCCCCTGGCTTTTGCTGCAGCCAGTGTAATGGTGGGAAACAGCAGCCAAGCAGGAGCCTGGGAGCCACAACTTAGCCCCTCAAGGGCTGCATGCAGCTATGAGCTCCCAGTTGGGCAGCCCTCCTCCGTATTTAAAAGTGCATATTACCAGTGTAAAATCATAATTACACTGGATGTTGTGGTCATCTATAACTATAGATGGGAAATAATACTTATTGCAGTATTCATTTTTATTTTTCTAAATTCTGCCCCATGGGTATTGAGGCCTTTCAAGGCCTATTTTAATGGGTTGGAAGAAGAAGGTTTTCTTTAAACTAGAAAACAAGCACTTTTGTATTAAGCAATATTTTTGTGTGACAAGGTTGAAGTTTTGTCTTTTTACTAAACTGGAGTTAATTTTATTTCACTTATTCTTTTACTGCACTCAATGGACATTAATTCCCAATAATTAAAACACCACTTTAAAAAAAATTTGGAGTGCAAAAAATTGTGGCTTGTCTTTCTTAGTGTAGTATTAGCCTAAAATATTTTACCAAAGTCTGAATGTCTCATCTTTTTTTGAGATAATATAACATTATTTGTCTTGTAAAGAGTGGTGGCTTCAGATATTAAAAGCATCACAAAGGGTCTACCTAACCAGTCTCAGAAGTTCAAGTTGTAAAATTCTTTCTTGTTTTCAGTCATTGCTAGCCATCCAGTCTTAGCCTGTGTCCAATAAAGCAGGTTTCACAAGTTGTGAAACATGGTGAGGAGAGAGGAGGTTTTTAATTGGATTATTGACAAATGTGGCATTGCTTAACTATATTTAAAAAGAGAATTGCCGGGGGGGAAAAAAATCTCAAAATTGTAGTTTTCAGTTCTGTGTTGTAAAATTCTGTGATGCTTTGTTTGACTGTGGACTGCTGTCAATATGCTAATATAGAATGAATATATATGAATGATATCTTGCAGTCTTAAGAAAATACTAATTCTACTGAATCAGTAACAAAATTTTCCTCATTCTAGTATTTCATGTGTAAAACACAAATTGTATGTCCATGCACAGGCAGGAAAAGTATCAAATTAGTGATTTAGTTCCTGTTCTGTCCATACATATAGGCATGCTCTACAGAATGCTAACAACGGACTCTTGAGGATTCTGTTAGAAGTTGTGAAGACAACGGTTGCTGTAGAAGAAACAATTGGTCATCATGTTCTTGGATTACTGGATAGAGCTGGAAAAGGCCAGCCATCCTCTAAGATTGTAGCATGGGAAAGTAAGACAGAAGAGTCAATAAAACCATGTGTCCGTGTGGGATATGAAAAAGGTACTGGTTCTGTGTTTACTTGTATGTTATATGCAAGGCCAATAATATGCAAGTATTTTTTACTTTAAAAAGTGCATTAAAAAAAACCAGGTACTCTAAAAATTAATTACACGTGTTTTTAAAAAATAGTATGTATGAGTGTATATAAGAGATTCATGTGATGTCAGTTGTTAACACAAATATCTGATTAAATGGTTTTCAGATAACTATAGCACATCCCTAGGCAATTACTAAGCTAAATTACATCTTTGTCACAAACTTTGTGTAAGTGACAGTATATTCTTGTGCTGCCCTTGGCAGCCATTAAGATAATGGTGTCATTTGGAGCTGAGGAATTTTATGCTGGATCCTAACAATTACATGACTGCCAGGGATCAAGCAGTGGGCAGCTATGTTGAAGCAGCATGCTACAATTTATTGCATGGTTAATGCCTGCCAGGACCTGGGAAATGGATTAAGAGAAACAGAAATAGAAAGGCCTTAATATTCCTCTCATTTGTCCCCACTCCAGATTTTATACATGGTGCTGTATAAATTTGCTGTCACGTGGGGGATGGGACTGAATCCAAAATCCTGTCCCCTATTCTGCAGAAGCTTCTTTTCCTGTGCTGTGTCTACTGCTGCAAGTAGCCAGTACAACCCGCTAAGGGGTGCTTTATGCTCCTTCAGTCTTCTATGTGGGTCTTCAGGATAGCTCACAATGCGACTTGATATTAGTACTCTATTATACATGCCTCATTTAGAGTCTTAGTTCATTCAATAAATATTCTAGAAAAATATTCTAAATCCCCCAGACCATCAAATTTAGCTATTAGGAATACATGCTTTAGAGTTGTTACTCAGATGTTAAATAAAGACTTAATTACCAGTTTTCATTCAATGTTCATGCTTCTGAATATTCTCTGTACTGTATAACATTAAATGTGTGTCAAGTTACTACTTGGCCATATTATGAAGGAGGAATATAAGAGTATAGTAAGAGACAGAATCCAGAAAGCCAAGGCACAAATAGAGACACAGGTAGTAAAGGCTGTGAAAGGCAATGTTAAATACATAAGAAGTAAGAGGAAGACCAAGGGAAATGAAAATCCTTTACTAGACGAGGAGAGGAAGCTAATAATGGACGGCATGTATAAGGTTTAGGTGCTTAATGTTTTTGGTTTTTTCATTTTTGCTTTAGTCTTTGCAAAAAAGTCCATTATTAGAAGATAACCACAGCAAAAAGGACAAGATAGTAGGAACTCAGCTTAGAGCAGAGAAAAAACAAGTCAGATATTTTTTAAGTTAGATGTTTTTATATCAGCAGGGCCTGATGCATTCATCCTAGACTACTGAAAGAACTCGCTGAAGTAATTACGCAATTGTTGGCTGTCCTTTTGAGAACTTACGGTGGTCAAGTGTGTTCCAGAAACTGGGAAACAGCAACACATCTTTTTTTTTCTATATAAAAAAGGGGGGAAAGTAGTGCTGTGACAGACTGGGATGTAATTCCCTAGCTTTGATACCTGGAAAGATATTAGAACAAATCATTAATTACTTTATAAGCACCTAGTGATTAGCCTATTGCTTGTAACAGCTCATAAGAATTTGATAAGAGTCAGTTATTTTAACCAACCTGATTTCCTTCACTGCTAAGGTGTTGGGCCTTGTAGATGGGGTGAGTAGTAGATCTGATGCATCTTAGTTTTTGTAAGGCTTTTAACACTGTCTCAATACATTTTTATAATTAAGCTAAGGAAATATAGTTGAGGCAAAATAGTACTAGGTGGGTGCCCAACTGGCTGGATAATGGTACACAAAATGTAGTCCTTAATAACTGACGGCCAAACTGGGAAGGTATTAAGTGGGATTTCCCAGACATCTGCCTTGGATTAGTAATTCTGAGTATCTCTATTAATGGCATGAAGGACAGAGTTGACTATACTCAGTACATTGGCAGAAGATACCAAGCAAGCTGAGGTAACAATTAAGAGGACATGATTAGGATTCCCAAGATGACTACTGCTTCTCCCTGGGCCTACACAAAGCAGGAGCAGAGTTCAGTGTTAACCCTCTCACAGCTGCAGCAGTAGGTTTTGGCTGAAGAACCACTAAGATAGTTGAGGGTGAGCAATCATCTATATTCAGTTTGTTATTTAATGAAACTTGTGGTGTGGAAAAAACCCTTCATTATTTACAGGCACTCATATAAAGAACTATTTACAGTGAAGAAGTAACAGTCATGTTACTGCCTTTCCAAGGGTCTGGGGGCTAGCTTTGTTGCAGTCCTGCCATACCAGGAAGTTCCTGCTACTTCGCCCACACTGTCTCCTAGGATGCCACGCTTCCTGGAAACACTATAGACGCCGATACATTGGCACAGAAGCTGCTCTGACATGCTGGAATTCCAGTACAAGTTTAAAGAATGATTGAATCTATAAAGTTCATTGACTTGGTTACTAGATAACAAGCTTTTATTTCCAGAACAATTACTGAAGTTCAGATTTCAGTGAGAAAGCATGTTGAGATTGTGTACGGTAATATAGTGACTTAGCTATAAGTTAATTCTGTCTGAAGATTTGGACCTTCATTTGTCACAACAGCTTCAGAGGGTGACAGCAGCTACTACAACAGCTGCTGTCATCCTCCCTCAGAGCTCTGCTTGTGGAAGAGTGACTTTTAAACTAAAGGCCACTGCTGTAAATCCCAGCAGCAAATTAATATGTACACTCTTGTCTGGCACAAAAACATATTCCAAGTAAATTGGGCATGACTAGCTTAATGTAATTCTTAATACATTTTAATTCATGTAAAAAAAAAACCAAATCTCCCAAAAAACATGTCTGTTTCCCCACCCCCACCCCCTCCATCCCGGAAACTTCTGAGAAAATGCTATAGGATTTTTAAAATACAAACTCTTCCTGGGCTAACTACTCTAGATTTTACTACATTATGCTGTGGATAATTCAGGAATAGGAGGAATATAATCCAGCACTTAAATCATCTCAGTTCTGCTCTTTTAGCAAGGGAAAGAGAAATAAAAAATGGTAAACACTTTAATCTTAGACCTAGATTTTCTCCACTCAGAGCTCATTGAAGGATCAAAGCCTTATCATTAAAGTAAAGATATGTGACTGAATAAACATAAGGAACAGGTCTGTTAAACAGATATGTGCCACTTTTGCATTAGTCATGTTTTATAGTAGAATAACACTTTGAATTCAGAATATTAAATTAATATTAATATTAATGGACTTTTTTAATGTTAAAAAAAAGACTTTCTTTAGATAACTGACAGAAGTTTCCAAATTGCAAGAAATGGTTCTCATGGGGGACTTCAGTTATCACTGGGACATCTGTTGGGAGGAAAACAGCAGTTCAAAGACTATCTAGTAAATTCTTGGAGTGTATTGGGGTTATCTTTTGATACATGTGGTGAAAAAGCCAAAAGCTCTTTTTGATTTCCTTCTCACTGGCAAGAACTGGTTGAGAATGTGAAGTGGAAGATGACTTGGACAACAGTTACCATGAAATGATAGAGTTCAAGATCCTGAGGGAAGGAAGGAAGGGCAGCAGTAAAATAAAGATGCTAGGCTTCAAAAAAGCAGGCATAATATCAGGGAGCTGATGGGCATGATCCCCTGGGAGGCAAAAAAGGAGTCCAGGAATGCTGGCTATAGTTTAAGGTGGCTGCGTTAAGTGCATAAGAGCAATGTGATGGAAGAATGGGAAGTGCAATAAGGCTAGGGACAGACATTACATACAAACCGGTTTAAGTGATCAGAAGCTGGTTTAAACCTATAACAGAACAGGCGTTCAGTGCGCATAAACTAGTTTGAAAATGGCTGAAACTGGTTTGAGATAAACCTGGTTGAATGTAGTATCAGACTTAACTGATTTGGCTCTAACCAGTTTATGCAATGTCT